TAGAAATGCATGTGAAAATGTCTCAATGTCAATTGCTTTGGAATGAATTCTTCTGTATGAAAAAAAAATTAAAAAAAAATGATTAAAAAACAATAATTAGTAGATGTGATAAACATTACCACTGAAATCTACCTCATGACTTTATATCTGTAGAGATGCCAAGGAGCTCAGAAAGTAACCAACTGTGACTGGTAATAATCAGATGTATAGAGATTAGAAACGCATGTGCCAACATCTTAGTGTCAATTGCATTAAAAATGAATTTTTCTGTATGAACTTGTATTTTAATAATGAAATGGAGATCTTTTTTAAAGGTTAAAACCTCATTTAATTTAATGTCTTATAGGGTTTATACTGAGTACAATATTGTATAACTGTATTAATTCAACTGTAAACCTAAAAGTTTACAGCTAATTTTGAAAGAGATGCATCTTAGCTCTGGAAATGGTTATTGAATATGTCAATGCTGTAATGAAATGCTTCTTCTAATTATGTGGTTATTAATTTTTTTATTTTAAAATCACATAATGGGGGCTGGTGAGCCCGAGTTCAATCCCTGGAACCTATACAGCGGATGAAGAGAACCAACTCCTACAAGTTGTCCTTTGACCTCTACATGTGTTCAGTGGCACTTGTGTGCCTACATGCACATAGACGCATACGCAAAACAAGTGTTAAAAAAAAAAAAAAAAAGTGAAAATCTGGCCTGAACTCTGAATTGGTTGGTTGGTTGGTTTTTTGAGTCAGGGTCTTACATATAACCCAGGCTATCCTGGAACTCACTAGGTTGGCCTTGAACTCATGGTAGTCCTCTTGCCTCAGCCTCATAAGTGCAGAGATTCAGGTATGCACCACCATGCCTGGCTTTAGACTTTGGGTTTTAAGGATTAGGACATATGCTGGAGTGTGCAGAGGCTGGTTCACTTTAGTTCATGAGAACACCTATGTGCATGTTTTCCCAATTTTGTGGTCAGTAACTTTATATTAATAGCTTTAAATTGCCCAGTATGAGAGTATTTATAACATGGGAATATGTAAGTACTGAAGCTTAGGATTTCTTTTTTAGCACCATTGGTGTTTTTAGCAGAACACCATTGAAACAATTCCTATCTGCCTACAGGCAGCAGTCTGATAAGTAGGCAGAAAGGACAGTGTAAAGAGTATGAACAATTGTTGTGGAAGCTCCCAATATGGGCAGTCTGTTCTGCATCAGGGATTTTGAAGGATGGTTACAAAGGCTCATTGGGAATGAAGAAAAGATTCTGGTCAGGTAGGGGAAATCAGAAAGAGGGGAAAGACTTTCTCAGCAGGGGACAAAGCATGAGTATGGAGGTATGGAAGTGTGTGTTAGTGTGATTGGAACTACCTAGCAACCCACTGCAGCTGGAGCACATAGGCTTGGCAAAGGGGGCAGAGGATGCTGGGAGGTCAGCCATGAAGAACCCAGTCAGTCAGGTCTGAGCCCCAAACTGCATTAATCAGGTCTCACACTGTGGTCACCCAAGAGGATATAGCTACCAAGAACTCTATCAAAATCAGAATTTTCAATATCAGAGGAGTTAAAGTCTTCCAAATCCCAAGACCAACACAAAGCTTTCAGTCATCTGAGGACAAGGAGAGTGAGAAATTATGTGTTCTGAACTGTTTCATCCTCCAGTTGATTTTTTTTTTTTTCTCATTGCAGCTGGTTTGTTTGTTAGTTTGTTTGTTTGAAGCAGGGTCTCCCTGTAGCCCTGGCTGTCCTGGAACTCACTATGTAGACCAGGCTGGCCTTGAACTCACAGAGATCCGCCTGCCTCTGCCTCCCAAGTGCTGGGACTACAGGCATGCGCCACCACGCCCGGCCCTCCAGTTGATTTTTAACTGCGAAGTCTTCTTCATGCAGGAGAACAAAACAGATGAGAAGAAAGTGACTGTGGAAATGAGCGCCCCTGTCCAAAAAAGCCTATTCTTTTTTTACCCAACATTTTAAATTTTAATGTTAAGAGTGATTCAAAAATTTTATCAGAGACTCAGACATATTTGTATACCAATGCCCAGAGCAGCATTAATGTCAATAGCCAAAGGAGGAGATGAGCCCATATGTCCACCAATCAATGAAAAGATATACAAAATTTCGTGCCTGTTTGAAAAATACCCATTCTTATAGACTCAAGAAGGACTGCTACAAGAACTTTTCATAGACCTACCTCCCTTCCAAACACAGACGACAACAAAGTATACTTTACAATGATTTACTGTGCAGCTAAAGTACCAACCATGCCAACACAGAGTAAGCACCTGCAAGGAAAGGCATGGGGCCTGTACATTAAACACAGAACTAGGTTTCATTTCCGATTTTGAGGACACTGTGTACTGTTTGGTTTGTCCACTAAGGTCTGTTGAGGGACTGGCACTTATACATCCAGATACTGGCTTTCCATGAAGTAGTTTGATCTGTGATGTAATTGCTTATTGGTGATTGGAGGGGTCCAGAAAGTCAGCCTGGTGGGCAGGGAGATGCTTTTGTATCTGACATATGTATTCAGTCCCTCCTGTGATGAGGAAGGGCCCAAGGCATTAGGGCCAAGAAACCAGATTGGGAGACCACATGGTTACAGCTGGCTCAGTCAGTCAAGCTGTAAAGTTAAGCTGTATATTACTCCCTGACCTTGCCACACACCAGTACAGCTCGGCAGGTTTGCCCAGGAGCTGGCAGGGACCCGGAACCCTTCCTATGCACCAGCTGCTGGCTCCTTGGACTGGCAAGTTCTTAGAGATGTCACAGGATGTCAGGTGTTCTGGGAATGTGTAGACATGATATAGCAGCTAAGGGATAGCAGCACCGAGAGCCAGACATGACCTTTTTAGGTCAGTTTAGTTTCAGAAATAGTACTTTTTCTGAGCCCTAACCATAGACTTAGCTCCTGACTCTTGGTCTGACTTTTTGTTTGTTTTCTTTGTTTTTTGACAGGGTCTCTATAGTCACAGCCCACCTGGAAGTCACGATGTGAACCAGGGTGGCCTCGCAGCAATCCACCTCCCTCTGCCTCCCAAGGACGGGGATTAAATGCACAAGCCACCATGCCTGGCATTTGGAATGGCTTTTTAATCTAATCATCTTGCCTCAGCCTTTGCTTTGGTGTGGTTGTGAACTTAAACAAATGGTGTACATCTGATGGAAGAGGTGAAAGAGATCTTAAAGACCCAGGTGACTGAGGCTGGAGAGATGGTTCAGTGATTAAGAGCACTGGCTACTCTTGCAAAGGACCTGGGTTCAAACCCCAGAATCCCTATGGTGGCTAACAACCATCCCTAACTCCAGTTCCAGGGGATCTGGTGCTCTCTTCTGATCTCTGCAGGCATTGCATGATATGGGTACACTGATATCCATGCAGGTAATATACTCATACATATAAATAAAAATCATAAATATATTTTTTAAAAGATCCAGATGAGGAAGACACCACTTATACACTCACCCTGCCCTTTTCCTATGTTCTTAACCCATAGAACTGATGGGATTTACCTTTGCTTCCCCGAAAATCAAGGTACCCTGAGACTGCCTGGCTGCTTCCTACATTGTGCTGCTCACTTCTTGCATCTGGGCCACTTCTGCTCCTGCCTTGTCTGCCTGCCTTAGTCAGTGATCATTATGCCCATTCCAGATGGCTTCATCCTCGTGCAGAATAAGCACTGAAGTGGAGTTTAGGAGTTTTAGTTCCTCATTCTTTCTTAAGTCTCAAGATCCTTGGTAAACAAATAAGCCAGAGAATCCAGCTTTAGTTTGAGAGGCCCAGTATTAGTCCCACCTTCAGGACATATGGGCACCCATTTGGGACTCCACAGGATAGTTTGAAAGTCAGGTCTAGTCTGGCTTCCTAGTGAAACAAATGTTTCCACAGTGTCCCTAAAATCACAAAGAACAAGGGGATTGCTAGGTCATAAAACAGCCAATTCTAAAGCTTGGTGACATTTTCTTTCAGATGCTAAGCAAGTTTTATGCCTTCTAAATTTCTCCACGGTTTCTATTTGACCAGGCCTCCTAGTGCAGGTGTGGCAGTGGGATGCTTCCACCTATCATAAGCTGATAACAATTCCTATGGTTAAGTATCTGATCTATTCCAGATACTTCAAACATTGCTTCATTTATCTTCACAGCATTGTACATCTTAGTGATCCATTTTATGAATAGGCTTGTGGGGCAGATTTAAGTAGTCACACAGCCTGTACTTAGGAAGCAAATGTGACCAAGCCTCTCTGATGCAACATGTGTCCTTCCCATCCCCCCCCTCCACTTCTCTGAAGAGGCAAGGGACAGAATGTGACAGTTGTAGTAACCCACTCACCTCACAGCCCAGTCTTCCGCCCTCCTAGGACTTCACATTTGTTGTTAAACAGCCAGGCCAGAAGAGCTCTGCTTTCCAGACATGGAGTAACTCCCCTTGTTACTGACAGGACCATTCTCCATGGGTCTTAAAACAAACAGAGCTATGACCACAACACCTTCTCCTGACATGGGGGGGGCGGCGCTGAGAGCCTTTCCCCAGGATCCTGCCACCTTCAGCAAAGAAGCAGCCTCCCTGGAGAGAGTACCTGTCCCAGAGGAATAGCCAGGTGCTGTGGTCCCCTCACCACTCACCATTCGATGAATGTACTTAGTATGTAAGCCATGCTCATCCTCGTCCAGCTGCGACTCAGCGCCTTCCACATCCTGTTTGTATTTGGGGCTGATTGCTACGATTATCATCACTGTCTTCTGTCAATGAGGAGAAAAGCATGTTTATGGAATCGGGAAGTGTGGTCTACTTGGTAAAGACTGGCTGGAAACTGGCAAGCAGGACTTACACAGTCCCTGACCCCACTGGTGGGTGTAGGTCCAAGCTCCTTGTCCATGAAAGTAAAAGACGCCAGCCCCCACTCAAGCATGCTGTCATCTTAACCCCTCCCCATCGCCTCCTTGCCCAGCATCCCTTAAACATGCAGAGCAAATGGTTCTGAGAGGAATTCTCCTGCCTTCCATGACCATCTTTAATAAATGTCTAATGAAAGCCCAAATCACTGAATCTGCATGGAGGCAGAAAGGCACTGCCACCCCACAGATGAAAAGCCCCACTCTCCCTGCAGCAGGATGTGAGCTGTCAGTTACCATGCTCCTCCACTGCCCTGCTTTTCCTGTGTGTATTAGCACAGTCAGTAGGAACAGACCCTTCAACACAAAGCAAACATCAAGCCGCAGACAAAAAGAAAAGGCAGAAAAACCCTAGCCTGCTGAGACTTTTGTCCTCCACCAGGTCATGCCCAAAGAAGACCTGGATGTGGACACACTGGCAGCAATCAATTTCTATCTTGTTAAAGCACAGAGTATCCCAGTGGCTGGTATAGATTCTGTTGGTGGAAAACAAATCACAGGGCTACAAGTGGATGCCTGCGGGGGGGGCGCATGTGGCAAGCCTGCAAGGCTGCCCGGAAACCTCCTCAGCCTTGTCCTACAAAACACTTGGGGAGGCCTCAAATTCAATTGGATTCTGCTGTTCCCTCCCCACTCTCTGCTTTCATTTCCTCCTTTCTTATTCTGGTCTAGAAATTGTTTGCTCTGATTGTTATCAACCACCTGTGTCTGGTTTGACCGTTATTTCCTGCCTGTGCATGTCCAGGAGGGTGACCCCATCCATCCTTTCCAAGTATTTGCACAGCTTCCAACAAGAGAAGCTTTGTCCAGACTTCCTCAGCCTCAGACTTGGGAGAATATGCTAGTGCTCCTTCCCTAAAATAATTCCATAAGTTAATTATCTTTCTCCCCAGCAAACATTCCCAGAATTTTAGAATATACTTACATCTCTAAGGTAACGCTCCATCCATTTAATGATATCAATACCTCGGATTCTATCCTCAAATATGTCAATCTACAAGAAAAGAGGGTCTTAATGAGAAGCTTTTTCTGGGTGCAGAGGCCAAGAAAACAAAAGAAGCTACATATACTTACAGCCCTAAAACGTACTGGTGCTTTGGGTAAGGAAGAACACATCAGTCTAAGCAATAAAACACAATTTTCATGAAATATGAATATTTCAACATTCATAGGTATTTATATAATATCCATAATTAGGATATAGTGGTACATATCAAAATGTGTCTATTGCTATATAATAATTGTATGTTTGAAAATCTGAAACAACCCAATTTAGTTTGTGTATGCATATACATATATATGTATATATATTTATATATAATTTGAAAATTTGAAACTTTTTTTTTGGTCTTTTTGAAACAGGGTCTCCCTGTAGGCCCAGCTAGTAGCTTGGAACTTGATATGTAGACCAGGCTAGCCTCAAACTCACAGAGATCCACCTGCCTCTGCCTCATGAGTGCTGGGATTAAAAGTGTGTGCCACCATGCCCAGCTTGAAAAATTGAAACTTTAATGAATATATGGCATGCAATTACTGAGACATAACTATGGTGTTTGACTTGCATTAGGTCATTATCACAGTATTAGGTCCTGTTTCAGTTTATAGTTTGAAATGAGAATATCCCTCATGGGCTTAGCTATTTGAACACTTGTTATATGGTTCGCAGTTGGCAATGCTGTTTGGGGAGGTGTTGCTGGAGGAAGCATTTCACTGGGGGTAGGCTTTGAGAGTTCATAGCCTCATCTAGTCCCACTTTCAGTTTGCCCTCTGTAGTTCCTGCCCAGGCTTGAGATGTAAGCACTTAATTTTTTGCTCTGGTCACCTCTGCTGCAATGTTTCCCACAATGATGGACTCTTACTCCTCTGGAACTATAAGCCTAAATAAACTCTTCCTTCTAAAAGTTGCCTTGGTTATGGTATTATATCACAGCAACATAAAATTAATTGTGTTTCAAAAGGATTGTATGAAAATTAGAAGAAATCCAGAAGCAATACAAAAACAGTTAAGATGAGATAGTAAGGAGGAGTTTATGATGAAAGAAGGAGACCTCTCAGGCTTTGGTAAAACTGATAGTAGTTACCAGTCTTCAAGTGTTAGAAGGAGTATTAAAAGTAAAGAAAAATCAAATAATTTATTTTGTATTTTATAGTAGACCAAGTATGAAGGCCTTTCATAAGGTAACAGCAGTGGTGTGTGTGTGTGTGTGTGTGTGTGTGTGTGTGTGTGTGTGTGTAAGACACTTCTGAGAGGAAGAGGATATATAATTCAGTAGGTGACTCAAGGAGAAGGTCTTTGGGGAGGAGTTACTTGAATAGCCATGTTGCTCCCATATTAATCATCCTAATGTCACTCTGCTGTTTAGGACTGTCCCAGTCAAGTCCTAGCTACCTGCCAAGCTTCCTGTACTATCTACAGTCCAGCCTTACCTCTTTTCTTCCACGATCTGTTTATTTCACTCCTTAAATTGTTTCCCTTGTACCCTAAAAGTATAGCACAAGCCCCTCTGTTCTATAAGTCCCACTAACTTCCTCTTCATATCACCTAACTCTTGCCCATTGTGGCCATGAGTGGCAAATAATTAACACAGTATAACACCTTTTCATTTATTTAGTTTCTTGTTTATGACTGCCTTAACCTGCTTCTAGGCTCCCTATAGAAATAGACATGCTTTGTTTTCACTTAACTGCCACACACATAGGGTATACACTACAAGCTTGGAATATGTTCCTTTACTGATAAAACATAAAAAATGGAATGGCTTTCCTTTTGGGTTACATGGTTTTGTTTTAAAATGTGTGCTAAGGGAGTGCAGATAAAGGAGAGAGACTAAATATGATTAAAATATATTGTATGACATGCACAAAAATTCAATAAAAATATATATTGAAAAAAAAAACTGTGTGCTTATGTCCAGCATGGTAGCATACACCTTTTCTTCCAGTACTCAGGAGGCTGAGGCAGGAAGAATGAGTTTGAGGCCAATCTGAGCTGCAATTAAAAATGTCTCTAAAAAGCCAAGATAATAAGGTGTGTGCTGATAAAGACTGCACCGGTAATGTAGAGAAAGCCTTTGTAAATTCTCTCAGGGACTATATCAATGGCTCATTTCCACTATAGATGAGAAGGATGGGCAGGTCGGGTTCTACTCCTGGCTCTGCTGCTTCCCATCTGCATGACTTTGGAAATGTTGCTGAAACTCACCAAATCTCATCTTCATTAATAAACCTGCTACCTGTGGTTGTGAGGATTAAATGAGTTAACAGAGAAAAGGCATATATATCATAATGCTAGACATGAAGTTAACATACCATAAATGGTTATTACTAACCCAGCACCCAAATTCCCTGATACTGAGGCAGACATTCTAGGAGGCATGGTGCTTGCCTCTAGATTTCTACCAAAGTCCATAGAACCTGTCATGACAGATTTTCCACATCACTGCCATTAGGAGCTAAATTGTGCCCCACAAAATGCAAATGTTAGCTAAGGGTGGTAGGTGACTCTTGTAATCTCACCTCTAGGGAAGCTGATAGGAGTAATATAAGGTTAGTGTGGGCTACAAAGTGAGGCTCTTTCTCAAAAAAACTTCACATATTGAAATTTTAACTCCCATTACCTCAGAATGTGACTGTATTTGGAGACAGGGCTTTTCAGGCACCCAAAGATCTACTTCAAACCTCATAACCCAGTACAGAACAAAAGGACCTGACTTAGTAAGCAGGGGTCCTTGGTGAGTATGTGGCCTCCTGCACCACAGGAAGCACAGCCTTCGTGCACATAGCTGGTGAAAAAGGCCAAAGGAACAAAGTGCAACAAGACAAGCCTTTCCAGCCATCATTGTTCTATTCAGTTCAACTATTAAGTTTTCTCTTTGGACAAAATACTTACTGCAGTTTGGAAGCCATTCACCAACAAAAAGTTCACGAATTTCACCACCTCCATGGCTGTGTCCATAGAATAAGTAATAAAGACTTTACCTAAGAGAAAATTTTCACATTTGTTAAAATTTAATCAAATTATTTTGTTCTACAAAGCACTTCTAAATAGTATGTATCGTCTTTTGTGTTGGAGGGTGGTCTAAGAGCTTAAGCCTGCAGGGTTGTGTGGATTGCTGTCCTTTGGGACAAGGACTAGGACCTGTTCAAGAGAGTGCATACCACCCAGAGCGAACAGAAGTCAAAGGGACAGAGGACAGCACTGGCAGGCTGAGACAAACCTCAGAGGTCTTCTGAAACACCACATAAGAAATTAAAAAATATACCACCCACAGCCTGCCTGTCCTTAAGCTCAAGCCACTGCCTGATTTCTTAGAGATACTTGGCCCTGTGCCCAAGGAAAATACTCTCACAGCAGGCCAAGAAGCTAAAACTTGCTAAAGGGCCCACCCAGCAGAGCCTGCTTTTGATCTCATGATGTGCTCTGATGCCCTGAACTCTTGCTTGACAAGAACAAGTAGGGGGCGAATAAGAAAGTGTTTTCTTTCCCCTTTTTGTCTCTCCCATGGACTCATTTTTGGAGAAAGGTCAGGAAGTTGGAGCAGACTAATACACAGGTCAGAAATGTTAGTGAAACTTTAGCAGCTTAGAGGAGAGACACTGCCTCAGGGTAGTCCAACATCACAGGCTCCCTCAGTCTCCCTAAGCCAGGAGAGAGCCACAGACAATACTGTTCTGACACACTTTCCCAGCTAGAGCCATGGTTTTTGCATACTAGAGTATTGGGGAAATTACCTAGCTAGCATTTTAATATGAGAGATGAATAATCTCTACATGTTGGCCTTTAATCTGGAATGAACTAGTTAAATCTCAAGAAACCATGGGGCAGAGAAGAAAGGGGCTAAAGAGACTATGAATCTGTATGTATTCATCTATGCTTAGACCCCTAAACATTGAAACAAACCTACCAAATGGAAGTATATAATATAGAGTGGTTACAGTAACCCAGTTAAGCAGCCAGACATACTGATGTCTATTCATTGTCTTCTCCATGTGTACTATTCGCCTGGTTCCTGTAAAATGAATTGTAGGACTCTCTAGATTATGATCAAATAGATATAACATTGGGACTATATGCCATGTAAGACTTCCCCTCAGAACATTTTAAACATTCCCCTCAGAAATGTTTAAAAATTAAAGTATGTAAGATTTTTAAGATGTTCAGAAACAAAATATTTGAATGATAACAACAATGGATCATTGTCATGGAAATCTTTCAGAGCTGGAAATGACTGAAGAACACAGATCACTCAAAAGCAGTTAGCAAAGCAGAAGGCTTCATGTTTGTTCCTGAGTGTCCCAGATCTTGAAGGAGTGCTTTAGAATTACCAGAGTTTCTTTAGCAAGCGCAGCAGATAATAATTTCACAAGTAGTGACTGTTTTCTTAAGATTTCTGGAACTAACTATCCTGACTGACCTTACTCTGAGAACATTTTGGCTATATTTCAACATTTCTGAACCTGGCAGCAAAATGTGGAAAACGAATCATCACCTGACACTGAGTGGAATATTTCTTTAAATAAAAGGCTTAGTTTGCATTTGGTTGTGAAGCAGTATGGAGAATGTGAGATAGTTTTTTTCCAAACAAGATTGCTCATTCCTACAGGAAATGGCCTCGTTCTTGATGGCTGCTGCTAATTTATGGTGAGACTCTAGGTTTCTCTCCAGCATCATATAAACATCCAGGGACACATCCACTGAAGAGCATCACTTAGAAGAGGAAAGAAATGTTGGGGTTATTTGTTATATATGTTAAGGAAAAGCCAGTAGCAAGCAATTTGGGAACCTTGCTTGTGGGATCAGAATCACCAAAATCATTCAGAAATTGTTGAATACTTTTAAAGCAAAAAGCCAAATAAATTTCATTCCTCAATATATATAAGAAATATCTGAAATTATGGATGAGTGACCAAGCCAAACCCTCAAAGCACAAGACCTGTCAAAGAGAAAACTGCATTACAAACAACTTACGTAATTCCTCTGGCAAATTGCTTGTTTTAAGAGTTCCTCGTGCTGGAGGGTTGGTAAGGGGTCTAGGCACAGCAGCTGGGGATGGAGCCTGGGGATCCTGTGGTCTCAGCTCTGCAGGATGTTCCAAGGATTCCTCAGGAGCTCCAGCTCCATTAGGTGGTGGGTGATAAAGCTGATCCCTGGAAGGGAAGAAATTTAGAGTAAATATTTATTCTTCTTAAAAAGTTTGGGGATATAGAATAACTTTAAGAACTGTGGCCCCATGCCAGAGCATGATCTTTCCCCTCTGCCTCCATTTCTTATCTGAGACAGAAGGAAGAGGGGGAGTTCCATGAAGTTTCCTTCCATAAACAAGTCAGCTGGCTGCCAGATGTGAGGACCTGTGCTAGGGGTCAGAAGAAGAAAGCAGGATTTGATTTCTCTATTCAAGGACTGTCTAATTGGGAAAATAAGTCCCATGTGCAGGGCAGACAAGGTCAACACCAAAACAAAATAGTATGATGGGTGACATAGAAGGTTGATTTTTAAAGGCATTCAGATTAAAAAGACATGACTTTTAGCTCATGATAGATAACATTTTGTTTCAAAAGTTTTTTTTTTTTTTTAAAGAAAAGCATGTAGGTTTAAAATTATTTCTGTTGTGTTTCTAAGCCACATTATGGTGATGCTTAAAAAACAAACAGCCTGACTCAGCATTCATAAAGCCAAGAGCTGACCTGAAATGAGGAACATCCATTCCTTTAGAGGTTTCTCAGAACTGTGCTCTTGAGCCAGACTTGATCATCTCCAGCATGAAATGGGGAAATAGATGTCAGGAACCACCCTTATCAGAGAATCTTTGATCCTTAGGCCTAGAATATCACACGTATTCAATTTGCAATAAGAAAAATGCTGCTTTCCTTGCTTGATATGTAAATAAAGCATGCGTCCATCCATTCATTCACTATCTTGGTTGGAAGACAAGCAGAGGTCCTAAGGGATTAAGGTCATATGCTTGGATCACAAGAAAGACACATGGCTTGGGGGCTTGTTTACATTATAAACAGTAACGTTTTGGTTGTAAGGTTAGATAAAAGTTGTTAGTCCAGATTATGTCCATATTATAAAAATCATTCCTACACTGCTGTTACTTTATAAATGAAAATTTGACTTATGACATAGCATCTTTATTAATATTTTGTCTGCCAGTATTCCTGTGAGCATTCTGCTGGGGAGCCAATGCACTCACGTGAGCTTTGGAAAGCAAAAGGAAATGCAGATCTCACTTCTGTCAAGAATATAGTTTTCTATAGAAGCATCACAGTGTCCCTGGACTTACTCTCCAAGTGCCAAGGACAAGGTGTGGGTATCCCACTTTTGCCAGTACAGCTCTAGCAGGTACAGAATGGACCCCCTGCCTGCATCAGGTGCAGTGGGTCAGTTTGCTGATTCTCAGGCTGTGCCTGAGGAGACAGCCTCTTAGTGGTTCCAGTCTATGGCTCACCCTCTAACCTCAGGATTCTTCCTCAAATCTCCAATTCTATAAGAACTTAATTCTCTATCTTAAATCTCCTCTATCTAAAATAGCTACAAATGGGCTGGTAAGCTGGCTCAGTAGGTAAAGGCACTTTGCTGTCAAGCCTGATCACCAGAGTTGGACCTCTGGAACCCACATGGTAAAGAACAAGACCAACCTCCACAAGTTGCCCTCTGAACTACACATGTGGGTCAAAGTGCCCACATACATCCGCAGGTACAAGTGTACACATACACAAATAAAGAAATATAAAAAATTAAAATGCCTAGAATTGTGCCTTTTTTCAGGAACTGACTTCTAACTGGTAGGAAAATTAAAGCTATACCTATAATGTTTTATTTCTTTAAGAAAAATTAGAGGGGAAATATGGCACTATGCTATCTTTTTCTAAATCAAGGTAGTGTGACCTAGATTTTGTCACTTGTTCTATATTTTAAATAGTTTCATATTATAAAAATTTTGATGCTGTGATTATAAACCAATGCACAATTTTTAATAGATTATTGCTGTATTTTTATGATTTTACCCAAAAGTAATTTAAAAATTCTTAAAGTCTTATGTAACAGGGTTTTAAATTTTTAAAAACACAAAATCTCAACCATATTTTAAAAATGAGAAATTTAAGAAAGATATTTCATTTTATATTTTCATAAATAACAGGCAAATAAGTCTTCTAAAATAGACTGCGGCTAATGGAGATTCATTTCCTTATTATTTGTATTAAATCTTTTTATACCCAAAGTTGCTTTACTATTACAAAAAGTGATTACTGGTTTGATAAAGAAATATTAAAGCCTTGATAATGTTCAAAAACTTCCATATATAAATAGTATCACAGAGATTAATGATGGAGTAAACTTTCAGTATTAAGATTCTCTTTTAGATTAATGGTAGGAGAATTAGCTTTTTTACCTGAACTCACTTTTCTTCATCAAATAAAGAATACTACAATGGGCTTAAATTGATGCTATGAAACTATTTACTATGTACTATAGTCGAGCTCTTCTATAAATCTAACATTTTAAATTAAAGTTTATTTTAGGGTTGGGTATGGTTCCTCAAATCTGTAACCCTAGCACGGGAGACTGAAGCATAAGGAGTCTGAGGCCAGCCTATATGAGTAAGACCTCTCAAAAACAACACAAAACTTACTTTAAAAATTATGATTGCTTCCTCTGTTCAGCAACAAACTTATTTGATAAAGATGCTTAAATGTTGCTTGTTTTCTTGAAAATTTAAATACCTTACTATAAAATCACATTTTACTTCATTTTATTATATAGACTCCATGTATCATGTATCGCTATTTTAGAAAAGTAAAGAATCTGGCTTGTAAATCTTCCAGTAAGAGGAAAGCCATAAAAGATGTGGTGTTGGGAGACCTGGTGGAAGTCAAGGGTGGAGATCAAATCCCTGCTGATATTCGGGTTATCTCTGCACAAGGATGTAAGGTGAGGTGATACAGAAAGCTATAGGAGTGGGCCTAAGACAACGTGTAGGTCTAAGGTATGGTAGGGACCAGGGTTTAGTTAGAGAAAATAAGAACCTTGATAAGTGTCAACTTGAAATTAGTAACAATAAGGTGATGGTGAGTTTATTTATCTCTGTGTGTTGATGATGATAATTGTGACAGAGGGAGGAAGCTATGCTGTTTTCATAAATCCTTTCTTTTTCCTTTTCTTTACTTTTTCCTTCCTTCCTTCCTTCCTTCCTTCCTTCCTTCCTTCCTTCCTTCCTTCCTTTCTGAGACAGGGTCTCCCTGTAGCCCCTGTAATGCAGCCCGGAGCAAACATTTTATACTTTCTTTTCAATTTTGTTCTAAATTTGCAAATTCCATTTACATGAGCCCTATATATTTTAGAACCATAAATCCAGAAAAGAGGTAAACTTGAAGAAGAGTTTTTTAAAAAGCAATAAGGATAAAAATGACTAGCAGATGGTATGTGCCCCCCAAGGGTTGATTTATTGGGAGCTTGATCTTCTGAGGTGGGGCTTTACAGGAAGTGATTAGGTCATTCAGGGTGCTACCCTTGGAAGGAACTGATGTAGTTCTTATGAGACCCTGGTTGGTTTTGGTGGGAGTTGTAATAAAAGAGCAAGTGAGAAGTTCAGCACAGAAGCACATATAATTCCAGCTATTTAGGAAGCTGAATCAGGGGGATCAGAAGTTTGAAACTAGCTAGGGTAACAAAGTGAGTGTGAAGTCAGTTTGGATTACACAGTTAGATCCTATATAATTTCTTAATTTTAAAAAATATTATTTTAAATGTATGTGTATGAGTGCATTGCCTGCATGTATGTAGGTGTACCTGTATCATGAAGTGCCCACGGAGGTCAAAAGAGGG